GAGCTTCAGCCCCACAGGAGGCACCTGCCAGGACTTCATCTCTGCTCCTGCAGAAGCACCAAACCTCAGCAGGCACACCACATGTAGCTGAAGTTCTGTATCCTGGCAGGTATGTCCTGTGGGGCTGAAGCTCCAAGCCCCTCCACCTCGCTGCAAGGCAAGATCCCGGAGCTCCATCACCTGCAGTTTAATAGGCAAAGAATGAGGTGGAGGCCTAGGATCCTCATAAGCTGCACTTTAACCGTAAAAGAGCTGCATGCAACTTGCAAGTCATGATTTGGCCACCCCTGTTAGAAGATATTTCTTCCTGCTTGGGGCCATCCACTGTACTAAAATAGCTTGTCCTAACCCTACTAACCCAGGAACTAAAAGGCCAGGTATCAATCCAGAATCCTGTACAGATCTGCATCACACTGCCACCAGCACAATGTGTTCTCTTAATACACCAACACAGATCATCATCTCTAGAGTATGATCTTCTGGAACAGAAAAAGGGCTGAATGAAATTTCAGTCTGATTTCCTAGATGTAGCCAAACATCATGATTCACTGAGAGACAGAAAGTACCATACACATCTCTGGTACAGGATATTTCTATAGACGCTGAGCCCCTCCCCCTGACATCTCCACAAAGACAGCACCCGTAATGTCTGCACTGGCAAAGGCAAGCAAGACTGCAAGCTATTTCCTTTCTTCACCTGAAACCTCTATGCCATCTGAACTGAGGTCCTTTCAGAGGGCTGGATCCTACTCTCTATACGTAACCTACTGCTGAAAGAAGTCTCTGTACCAGATGACAGGAAAATAGTTAATGTCATGCCTATTTTTTAAAAAGAGCCCTAGAGGTGTTCCTGGCAAATATAAGCCAGTAAGCCTACCTCCAAAACCAGGCAAACTGTTAGAAACTATAAAAAAAAACAGAATTATCAGACATACAGATAAACACAAGTCAACACACCTTTTGGAAAGGGAAATCATGCCTCACCAATCTATCAGAACTCTTCAAGGGAGTCAACGAGTATGTGGATAGAAGTGAAACAATTGATATAATGTATTTCAGTGGTCCCCAACACGGTGCCCATGGTCGCCATGGCGCCCACGGGGGCATTTGTGTGCGCCCGCCAAGTGCTCGGGGCTGGCCTGGCCCCGGGCACATGGCGCATGCATGGTGCCGGAGCTGGCCACGGGAGCACCGCGAATTGGCTGCCCGCGATCTGGGCGCGTGGCGCATGGGGGGATCGCTGGCCCCGGGTACGCGGCGCTTGGGGCGGGGGGTGCGTTGGCCCTGGGCGCACGGCACTTGGGGGGGAGGAGGGGAGCGGGTGCCGGCCCCGGGCATGCAGCGAATTGGCTGCCCCGGCCCCCCGCGCA